TCGCATATAACGTACAAAGTCAGCATGCAAACATATCATCATATACTATCAGACGTATCTGGGGTGTCTGACTACCCTTCGGTTCTAACAACCGCACTCTACTACTATCACATACAACATATCATGCTAGCATATAACATATCAGGTAGTAGCAAACCTAGATGATATCACAAAGACAATCATCTATCATACATCTCCTACTGGTGGGCCGGCATTGTGGCCTTAGACCCACCACTACTGGAAGGTAAGTCACCTCGTAGTAGCTGCTGATCTGTGTGGGAATGGTCTCTCTGCTGCTGCTGCTTTGGAAATCCTCCAACTATAATTCCCACCAAACACTTTGTCAAATACCGACAACATTTAGAATGAAATACTCAATGACATTAACTTTATCGACGTGCACCTCAAATTGAGGATTGTCCTCAAGCAAGACCATGAATGGTATTGACCAACCATGTTGATCCTTCAATCTCGATGCCAGTGATTATATTGTCCGAATAATCGTATAACTTGAAGACTAAAACATTAAAAGTTAGGAATATTCCTTGGAAGGTCAAGTAACTACTCTTTGAATCTTAAGTTGTAACTGGAAAGAGTGATACAATGTTTCTGAGGGTTACATGAGGTATTGTCTTCTCGTGTTTGTATCATTTGCATGGGGTTTTATATATAAAAAGCTTGGGACATAGTTATGGTGTATAATAAGATTGGTTGTTGCTTGTAGCCGACTTCGTACTTGACGTGTATAGGTTTAATGTTTTTATAATATCAATTGCCCTTAAACTAGATATTTACCATATGAATTAGGTATGTCTATTTCATATTACTCTTAAATCGGAGGGAAGTGGTGTCGTCTTTGCTAGGCTCCACATGTCTTAAAAGTGTGCCCACGTCAACCTTGTTTCTATATCGCTTTGTCATGGTAAACAAAGTGTGTTGCTATTAAGACACCCTTTAGACAACCTATTAGCATATTTATGAAAAATCAATCAATAATTAACTACTTATAATTAGTTTTTTCGGAAATTAATACAATTTCAACCAATAAAAATATTTCAAAAATTAATTAGGGTGTCTATATGACAAATCGGGGTGTATTTTAGTCAACCCCTAAAGGAATAGGGAACAACAAGCACTAGGGTAGAAAGAAGAAGTCAGGAGGAGAATAAATGTGTGTGATCGGGTGAAAGAGTCGATAAAAACTCTCAAATATAAGAATGTTGAGTTCAACATGTCGACCCGATGTAACTCGGGCTCTCTATAGGAGGACTTCCAAACTAATCATTTGGCAATCCAAATTAAGTACGTAGACGCACTCATTAGTAAATACTGATAATCAATTTATAACAAATTGTTCATAAATTTTGATTTTCATTGTTTTAACCTATGTATTATGCTTTCGATTATTTTATTACTTTCGCTCAAATAATTACTTTTGAATAATTTATTACAAAATAAGTGACATGAAAAAGTTCTTAAATAATAAAATAAAATTGTTTATTCGTCATCATTGATTTAAGAGGCTATTTAATTGAATCATTTTTTATATGATTGAAGAGGCTTTTTAATTAAATATTTCTAGCGGTATGAAATATTTGAAAATATTTTTTAAATGAAGATTAAAATCTAATAACAAATAAAATAGAACTTAGAAAGGAAATATTTGAAAATGTGTTTTTTTAAATGAAGATTACAGTCCTATCTTATAAGAGAAAATGACTTATTAAGGTAATTAACTTTTCGGTAGGTTCACATCTACATAACTATCTTTTTTTTATACACATCTAGGTAACAAACTTGTTGGAAATGTTCACATATTACCATTATAACCTGCTATAGCAGGTTAAATCCTAGATGTGAACGTTTTCAACAAGTTCATTACCTAGATGTTTATAAAAAAAGAGTTACTAAAATATGAAAAAAACGGTACGCTATGAACAAAACGAAAAGTAAAAGTACATTATACAAATGGTCCCTGTGGTTTGAGGGAATTTGTGTTTTTGGTTCCTAACTTATTTTTTTAACTTGGATGGTCCTTACTGTTTTTTTTGTTGCGCGTTTGGTCTCTGTCTTATCTAAAAAGACTATTTTGCATTTATTAATTTATTTTTTAATTAATTTTCTTATTTATGTATTTATTTCTTACATATTTTAAAAAATTAATAGACCCCACATATTTGTATCTCCTCGGATGATCCCTACTTTTAGTTTTTAATTAATTTTTTTTTTAACTCGGATAATCTCTACTGTTTAATTTTGTTACGAGTTTGGTCTTTGTCTTATCTAAAAAGAGTATCGTGCCCTTATTAATTTATTTAATTTAATTAATATTCTTATTTATGTATTTATTCTTTATATATTTAAGAAAAGTTAATAGACCCTACATATTTGTATCTCTTCACCATCTCATCTCTCATCCTCCTCAACTTCTATTTATTTTCCATCTTTAATGATATCGACGTCTTCACCATCCCTTCTTTTTTCGGTCATCCAACTCCGTCAAATCAACACCACAACCAACTAAAGATAAAGAGACAGTAGGTTACAGTGTTGGTTCGCCATAGTTGAAGTACAAAAAAGGATGGATGAGGAAGACATCGATATTACTAAAGATGAAAAAGAAATAGAAGTTAGGGAGAATGAGAGATGGGATGGTGACCGGTAAGACCCAAATTAAATTTCTCAAATGTGGTTTCGGGTTTACGGTAAGGAGATACAGATATGTGGAGTTTATTAATTTTTTTAAATATATAAAAAATAAATACATAAATAAGAAAATTAATTAAAAAATAAATTAATAAGGGCACAATACTCTTTTTAAGTACGACAGGGATCAAACGTGCAACAAAAATAAACAGTAGTGACCATCCGAATCAAATTTCTCAAATATTGTTTGAGGTTTATGGTGACGAAATACAAATATGTGGGGTCTATTATTTTTTTTAAATATATAAAAATTAAATACATAAATAAAAAATAATTAAAAAATAAATTAATAAGTGCACAATAGTCTTTTTAGGTAAGACAGGAACCAAACGCGTAACAGAAATAAACAGTGAGACCATCCGAGTTAAAAAAAATAAGTTAGAGATCAAAACCATAAGTTCTCCCAAACCATAAGGACCATTTGTGTAATTTATTTTTACTTAAGGTTTTGTTTATATTTGGGTAACTATTTTTTTTTGTACATATCTAGGTAACGAACTTGTTGAAAATGTTCACATCTAGGATTTAACCTGCTATAGCAAGTCATAATTGTCATATGTGAACACTTTTAACAAGTTTGTTACCTAAATGTGTAAAAAAAAATAAATTACCTAGATATGAACATACCGAAAAATTAATTATCTTAACAACTTGTTTTCCAATCTTATAATGAATAAAATAGAATTTTAAATAGAATTTAGAAAGTATTCACTAGTCGTTTAAAAAATATTCATATTTATCTCACGATAATATGGTTTTTTACTACGTTAATTAATATTTGCTTAAAAGTCCAAATGATAAGATTTACAAATAAATCATATCAACTCGTTATCCGATTATTACAACTTTAAAAACTAGAAGCTATTTCACATGCTATCGTATGTAACTCATGTCACTATAATATTCGATTCTGATGATTTAATCTCACATTATTATATACTAAACAACACATCAAGAAACCCCTTATATTATTCATACAAACTTGTAATAGTGTAATAAATCGTGTAAGTGGTAATACTTCCGATCGACAATTGTTGAATCATATTTCCTTATCGTATAACATGATTTTTACCATACATTTCCTACTTTTTGCCACAGGAAATTAGTTTTTATGTCATGCCACATTTATTTTTTTTATTCTTTTTAAACAATTTCATTTAGATAAAAAAAATCATTAAATGAAATAAAATAAAAAATACATAATAAGATATTAAAATGTTAAAAATGCATAATTGTGATGACCTAAACATTGATGTCACAGAGCGAATAAGAGTTAAAGAAAATATAAGATATCCAATGATACTGTTAGACCATTGCGTCAAGTATGATCGTACTTTCTCATATGGAACGTTCTTTCCAACTCTAACAATGCCCATTAACTTGCATCACAAATACAATATTCCCAAAGCGGAAGATGATGAAGACATTTCAAATGTAATAGAGAGAAAATAAAGTATCAGTTTGACATAAAATGATAAGGTTGAGATGGAGTGAGAGGATGATAGAGATTCAACATTTGGCATCTAGCTACTCAGCTCGGCCTGTTGTGCCTTCGCCAGCAGGGGCGAGTCTATATGTATTGAAGGTGGGTCACTTGATCCACCTAATTTTTTTTCCTATAAATTGTGACATATCTTAAGTATTTGAAATGAACTACCTTAAATTATCTTTAATGTTCTTAGCAAAACAATTATGTATAAATAAATATTTTTAAAGCCAACACTTTATATTTTAATAGGCCAAATACCCGATTCATTTAAATTATAATCAAATAAAAAAATAGTTCAATACAAGTTAAAGACAAATAAAGGAAAACAAGGCAAAAAAAAAATGCATTTCACCGGATCATTTATTCTCTCGGTTTACACACAGTAGGTTTACGACCCGGCCCCGACCGTATTTTTTTTCATTATTTTCTATCAGTTTCACTTTAATAGTGAACCACTTGATTTTACGTTCTAGACTAACCACTAACCTGAAGAGGTGTTTGATGAGCTGACTAAGCATATTGATTTGCCAAGCATCACTCGGTCAAGTCTTATGAAACAAATTCCTCATCTCTCATGAAATCGAAGGAAAATTGTGAATCAATTTGTTAAAGACATTTAAAATTTTGACACTCATATACCACATTATATAACCTTAAGAAGAATTAAAACTTTGATCGCAACTTCAATTTATTTTCATGTGAAGATGAAATAAAGTAAAACCATATGTCAAAAGAAACATATGTATATAAAACCCAAAAAAAAAAAAAAAGATAAAATATTATATATACAAACAAATAACATGTTATCATTTGGAAAAGCTAGATTAGTATTCCAACATCACAACCAAAGAATCTACTTTTTACATGTTGATTCTTTGTTGTATACTCCCAAGGGGGACAAAATTTAAAATTAAATAACAATAAATAAAATAAAATAACAAGAAAGGTTACATCTCCCACCAAAATAATGTCACACCTTCAAGAAAAAAAACACCCCCTTTTGCATATGCTTCATATTTGATCTACTTTTTTTTTTTTTTAACTTTGTTCTCACATCATATGCTCATCACTTTTCAAAAACTTTGGTCATAAAATGATAGGAACAGTTTACATGATCTCCATGTTAGCCTTCGCCTTTGCAGCTCGAGATGACTTTGATGAAGATGATGATTTCGGTGAGCATGTTGACTTTGACTTTCTACGCCTTTGTTTTTTCGGTATATTTGGAAGGTCTACGGGTGGTATATCATTTAATGTATCATCCGTCGGCCGTCTTCCCATTGCTTCTCCAAAATCTACACGTATATAAGAATAAATCAGATAAAACTTACCTACACTGTGTTTGATGGATTAACTGAAAAACTAGTTACTAGCTTCTAAAAATGATGTTTGGTAAAACTAACTGAAATATATTAAGTTTGTTATTAAAAAAGTTCAAGAAGTTCGTTGAAAATGATAACCCTAGTAGCTTTTTAAAAAGATAGCTTATAAGCAACTTTTTGGTTTGCCAAACATTACAACCTAAAAAACTCAAAAAATAAGTTAGTTTATCAGCTAGCTATGATATGTCAAAAATAATCTTAACATATATATTTTTTTTATTTTCAGCTTTATTGCTAGTATCTGCTATACGATTTGGGTAGACTTGTATTCAGAACGAAATTACATAATACATGTTCAAAATCATATGTGTTAATGGTTAGCAATAATAATGTGGACTTGTAAAAAAATTTAATTTTTGGCTCACTTGAAATAACAAATATAAATTGTTGCTTTCAAGAAATTGTTTACATATATCATGTGTATGTGTTCATATTTTTTTAAAGCAAAAAGGTCTTGTGACATAAAAAGCCAAATCAATTTCAATCGATGGTAGCCAAGAATCTTTGGTAAAAACCAACTTTCGAAAGAGTACAAGTCACCTTTTTATTGGTACAAGTCATGTTTCAAATGGTACAAGAAACTTAGTTTATTTATGGACAAAATAAGGGACAAAATCTATCTTTATTTCAAGAAAAGTGTCCAAAACCCGTGAAATGGCCCACGTTTGCCCCTAAGAGACTAATGTTCTTCAAAATTCAAACCAATTACCCACCCACATGGTGTGTATTTACATATATGTTTGGGTATATGTATATATTAAAGTATTATAAGTATATATTTAGCATTTAATACATAGAAAGTAACATATTTAAAAGGGACAAGACATCTTATTTTAGGATAGGAGTTATTTGATTTCGTGTTTCCAATTAAAACATTTTTTGCTAAAAGTTCCTTTTTTTAGAAACATAGTATCGACAGTTGAGTTATTTAATCTTTATACTTTAAATTCCCATCGTTTTTTGTTCAACAAACCTTTTCCCCGATCGAGCAAAAGAACCTACTACTTAACATGCTTATTTAGATTGTTGCTACCAAAAAAGGTATTGATTATTAAATTCAAGAAATGTCAAAAAAAAAACACCCATAAATTGAAAATTAAATTGATATTCTCATTAACGGAATAAATAAATGTCCCTTAAAACCATCAATAAGAAATTCGTTTTTTGAAGTTGAAATTATGAAATTTAATAGTATATTATTAGAAATTAGATATCGACCCTTCCAATCAAATTATTGCATGTAATCTTTCCTTGCAAATGGATTATCATAATATTCGAATTGCAAACAATTCATAAAAAAATCGTACTTTCCTTCAAAGTATGGTGTTTTATTTAAAATTTTCGATTTAATGATTGATGATTTCTAATAAATAACTAAATATAATGATATACAATAATCAATTTCCAATAAAAACCATTAAAATACCTTGAGAAGACCAGGTAGACAGAGCAGAACCAGAGTTTCCAATGGAAGTTGCTGCAAAATCAGGAGCTGTCTTGAACTCATTCATCTGAAATTTTTCAAAAAAGAAAATATATTTATATTTATATTTCAAGAAAAGGGTATCGATTTCATATATACAAAGATTTGGGTACGAAAAAAGAGGAGATAGAAAAGTAAAGTGACCAAATTACCCATGAAGGAGCACTGCCTGATGATCCATCCCAGCCAATATGAGCAACATGTTTAACATCTGTTGGGTACCCGATCTCCATTTCACGTTCCTTCATAACTATATCACGAAATCCAACATCAAACACTCAACAAAATAAACGATCTTGATGACAATAAAGAACCCTAATTTCGACATCATAAATAGAAACAGAGAGGGGGGTTACCAAAGATTTGAGAGATGAATTTGAACCCTTTAAAAACCCCTTTGATTTTGGTCCCCATGGTTGAACAGAAAAACCGACAAGGGAAACTTCAAAATCCCTTGTAGAAATTGAAGTAAGAAAACGAAAAAAACCAAACAAATGCTACTTCTTTCCCTGTCAAAAGAACCAAGCATTTCATCAAACAGTTGTCGCGCATCCCTCTATTCCAATTACTGGTTCCATCTAACTCCATCTGATACGTCGGTGCATCAAAGCCCCATTACAAAAACAATAAAATTATTACCTTTTCTAAGCTCTTTCTTTTCTTTGGATTTCATAATCCACATCCTTCTTCATTTTCCTTCAAGAATTCATACGTATTGAAAGGGAGATGAACCCTGTGAATGAAATTCGAAGAGTGGAAGGAAATCAAGGAGAACGGAAGAAATTTGGAAACACGAATATATAACAAAAAAAACCTTTACTAAAAGTAGGATGAAATTAAAGAGTGGGTTGGGTTTATGTATGAAGAATCTTCTTGAAGGAAAGAAGAGAAAAAGGCAGCAAGATGGAGAACCACAAAGATCTCCCACAAGGGTGAGGTGTTGTTTTAGAAGACATGGACAGGTCATAATATTGTACAATTTAGTATTTACTCTCTCCCTTTTACATTTTCTTTCCCATTGATATTTGATTATTAATAAAATAGCATAAACCCAACTTAAATATATTTTTACAAAAGGAAATCATATGTTTTTTCGGTGTTAATCATAAAAATACCATAAAATTATAAATAATCAAAGTAAATTATCTGAATTTTTTTCAAAACGATCCAACTAAAAACCATTGAGATTTGACCTAAATATCTCTATAAATCATAATTTTATTTTAAATATCATTGATCTTATTTTAAAATGTCAAAAACCGTTGAGATGTGATATAGATATATCCAAAATCTATATTCATATATTTTAGAATGTCAAAAATCGTTTAGAATGTCAAAGACCATTGAAATGTGACATAAATATATCCAAAATCTACATTCATATATTTTGGAATGTCAAAAATCATCCGGATGTTACCTAGAGATATCCAAAATGTAAATTCATATATTTGGGTTTCATTTATCTCATATATAATATTCTTGTTTATAACCTATGAAAACTAAAGTTACTAAATTAATTAAACTTTCATAATAAAAACTCAAAATTATTAATCAGTTTTTTTAAATAAATTATTAATTAAGATATATTTTTAGTTATATATAATTATAATCATTGATTTAAATAAATATATAAAATTATATCACCATATAATCTGTATTAATTTTAATTTTAGTGTTAATAATATAATGTAATTAAAGTCGTAAAATTAAAATTTGAAATGGAAAATCAATAAGTTGCATGTCATTGATTTGGAGGGTAATAGAGTGACACATGACAAAAGAAGAATAAACATATTCTTCTATTAGAATAGGAAGATTATATATTTTGAATTTTAACATCTCATAATTTTTCATCCGAATTTTGGACTATATATTTTGGACTATATATTTCAGACAAATTACATTTTGTATTTACTATATATGGGTTTTATCTCAAGAACCTCAACTGCACACTTTATTCAAAATGAGTTTATTTAACCAATTTTATAGAGTCTCTTATTATACTCGATTGTCATAAGAGTAATCAACGGTATTATGTTAGATATAACGTTAAATTATGCTATGGCAAATTATGATATCAATTTTTATTGGATGGTTAACTTGTTGGCTTCTAAGTTAAGGTTATAAACAAAACCTATTTGTTTGTTTTTTCAATATCTTGCAATGAACTTTGTTTTGCAAATACTTGATAACAAGTGAAAGATTCTATTAATGTTGTTACAAATTTGCATCTAAATATTATAACATCATATGTGGTTAATCTTTTTGGAAGTAGGATTAAGTGACCAGTCAGTCATATATCGGTATCCTACACCAACTAGAAACTGATTAGTCGGGGGAAATTGTTATGTCGGAGAATAGTCTCATTTGGTGTTGGTAGCAAGCAAGTAGGTAATTTATCCCCATTATAGTTACTTCATACGTAGAGTAAAAAACAAAAAAAAAATATGGATGTCAGAATGCGTTCTTGATAATCGTATTTTGTAAGAATGAAAATTAATGAAAAACAATGCGTGAGAACAAAAATTAAAAATAATTAGTGAGAATGCATGATAATGACAATATTTGTATGAGATTGAAGATATTCACATGACTAAACAACTTATTATCTTAGTCATTATCATAGAATAACACTGTCAACACACGTCTACACAATAGATATCATCTATATTTTAACATACCCATATATATATATATATATATATATATATATATATATATATATATATATATATATATATATATATATATATATATATATATATATATATATATATATATATATATATATATATATATATGCAATAACACTAATTCAATAAAACATTTTGAAAATAGAAAAGTAGGTAAAATGAAGCATACTAAATTACTAATAGTGCAACTGACCGAGGTGTGTAAAAGACGATGATTGATGTTCGGTTTTAAGACAAAACCAAAATATTTCTAACATTAACTTGTATATTTAATTTGAGTGACTGATTACTTATTAATCTAACCACCTTATTAATACAACAAAAAAAACTTATGCGTCTCAAACAATATATTCGCTTACTAATAACTTTGTCAAATAAATTATATATGACTTTGGAAGTATACTATACTAATAATGGTCGAGTCAGAAATTTTAATGGAAAAATCAAGCAAGGTTGACATACATAGGTCGTAGAGTGAGTAGACTTGCTAATGACATGTGTTCATAATTAGAAGGGTGAGTCGAATTAAGCGATGTCACAGTGTCATACTTACCATATTTATTTCATTGTAACATAAGCTTTATGTCTGCTTTTAATACAAAAATATGGTTCTCTGCCTCACACTAAGAGGGGTACCATATTTTTTAACAATTTAATTTAAACAAAAACTTCATTTTTAATAAAAAAAAACATAACTATTAGTGTATATTACTTTTAGCTCATGTATTGATTAGCCCATTCTTCTGTATAGACCCAGTTTTATATTTGTTTATTGTATATATACTTGATTGATAATTGAGAAAGGCGACGAAGGAGAATTTCCATTCTATTATAATATCAGAGCTCTTCCCCCTCTAACCCTAGCTGTTGTCGATCGCTTTTTCTTCCCTTCTTCTCTCTTTCTTTTCTTTCATGGCAGACTCCAATCTGATTCCTTTTAGCATCAACAACATTAAGTCATTTGTTCCCTTGATTCTTGACCTGAATCAACTGAACTATGACTCCTGGAGAGTCCTTTTCGAGACCCACTGCAGAGCTTATGGAGTTTATGGTCACCTTGATGGCTCCTCCCTTCCGAAGGATGATAATGACGAGCCATGACACAATCTTGATAATCTCGTTGCCCTGTGGATCTATGGCACTCTCACTCAGCCTCTTCTCACCATGGTGCTCAAAAGTGGTTACAAAGCTCGAGACGTTTGGAAAGCACTTGAATACCTTTTCCGAGATAACAAAAACGCACATGATATAGAACTGGAGAATGAACTGTGCTATATGGCACTTGGGGACCGAACCATTGTTGACTACTGTCAGAAATTCAATGTTGTTGTTGAACTATTAACAAACATCAGGTCTCCTGTCCCCGAGAAAACCTTGGTCATGCATCTCCTCAATGGATTGGGTCCAAAGTTTGACAACATTGTCATTGTTATTCGCCATTGTTAGTCACTTTGCAGCTTCCTTCAAGCCCGCTCCATGCTCGTTCTTGAAGAACAACGGTTTGATCGAACTCGTCCTTTGCATGCCGCCCACTTGGATCATTCTTCATCTTCTCAGGTTCTCCATACTGCAACTTATGGGTCTCAATCTCAACCCCGGGGGAACCTTACCTGTACCCCTAAATCGCAGCAACCACCACCGAGGTCCACCATGCAACAAAACGTCGCAACAACAGTCGTGACAACCGTCGCCAACAGCCCCCGGCAGGACGTCAACAGCAGTAGCAACATCGGCCTTCTCAGCCGCTTCCCCGGGCTTATTATCCTTCACCTTGGTGGCCTCTTTCCCCTGGTTCCCTTACCGATCACCACAACAGCCTCCACCTCTCAGCAACTTGCTATCTTCTTCCCAACAGCAACCTAAGATTCTCGTCCAGCACCCTGCGTCAATGCCTTCAACTGCTTTCCATGTCTCCCAATCCACTCCTATGCAGCCTCCATAGAATTGGTTTCCTCCAATAGCAAGTGATCAAGCTACAAATATTGGTGAAGCCTTTAGCTCCATGCCTCTTCAACAGCCAAATGATTCCACCTAGTTCATGGACACAAGTGCCACTTCTCATTTAGCATCGGACACAGGTATACTCCAATCCTGTTACTCACACTGGTCACACATTCCTTCCGTCCAAACACCGTCCCCATCACTTACATAGCGTACTTGTTACACCCGATATTATCAAAAATCTTGTCTATGTCCGTAAATTTACTAAAGACAACAAAGTTTCTATTGAATTTGATGAGTTTGGTATCATACACTCGGATTTATGGAAATCTCCTGTACTGAGTATTAGTGGAATAAAATATTATGTTCTTTTCTTAGATCATTACTCTCATTTTCTTTGGGTTTACCCCTTACACAACAAATATGATGTGATCACCAAATTCTTACACTTTCGTGCTTTTGTTAAAAATCAATTCAAAGAAGAGATCAAATCTTTTCAATATGATAATGGGGGAGAGTTCAATAACCACGAATTTCACAGGTTATTTGACCAACATGGAATTAAATTTCGTTTCTCTTGCCCTCGCACATCTCAAAAAAATGGCATGTCCGAATGTAAGATCCGAACCATAAATAACATCATACATAACCTCATTTTTCAAGCTCACATTCCACCCACTTATTGGGTGGAAGCTCTCCATATGGCCACCCATCTTCTCAACATTACTCCCTCCACCTCTATAGATAATCAAATTCCATACCTCAAACTATTCAAACAAAACCGACCTTCACACACCTCAAAGTGTTTGGATGTCTATGCTATCCATACATCCACCCTCCTCATAAACTGGCACCCCGCATCACACCTTGTGTTTTCCTTAGATATCCATATGATCATCGTGGGTATCAGTGCCTTGATATCGCCTCTTGCAAGATCATTATATCTCATCATGTCGTGTTTGATGAGTCATCCTTCCCCTTCCGTTACATGTCTCCTAACACTCCCCCCTCTTATCATTTCCTTGAAACCACTGATGACATTTCTCCCATATCTCGTCACCTCCTATACTCTCAGCCACACTCAACAAATCCTCCCATCCCTACTCCCACTACTCC